GGCCCCTTTCATTTCATGTTTCATCTGCTGCCTTGGTTTTGTCTTTTAAACAGTTCATGCTATAAATGGAATTTCCTTTAACTGCACAGTATTTGAGAGAGCCAACATTGTTTTTTCAAATGTTTGTTATGTGAAAGGCAATGTGGTCCAGGCACTGCACTTGGTGTCAGAAGACATTGGTTCTGTTCTCAGCTTTGACACTGACCTAGGGCAAATCACTTCACCTCTCTCTGCCTTTGTTTACCCTCCCACAGTTTGTCTGTCTTGACTATTTAGTTTGTCATTTGCACAGTAGCTGGCACAATAGTCCCCCATTCTCATTTTGGGCCTCTACTGTATAATAAACAATAATGTTATGAACAGGGCTGCTCTGATCACATTAGCTAGGCATATAGCAGAAAGTTTGAAAGTCTGGCTCCTTCATCTTTGTGGTACAAAGTTTCATTTTGCCTGAGGAGCAACATTATCAACCACTGCCCACATCCTGGAGCTTTATGTGATCTTCTAGATCTCTTGGGCCCAGGCATGGAGCCCCTGCAAGATATGGACTGAGACCTTGAACTTGACTTGATATTCCAGGGGAAGCCATTGTAGAGAGCAGAGGACTGGTGGGATATGTGACGTGGTCCATGTTGATGAGGAGACACGGTACAGTGTTCTGTATTGCTATAGTCCAGACTGGAGGTAAAAAGTAAACCAGATCATCATCTGCAAGGATGTGACAGACTCCTAGCTGAACAGGGTTGGTAGAAAGCATTACTCATGGACGCTGCTACGTGAGAGCTTAACATCAGTGGGGAATCTAGTAGCAATCCTGAATTGACCAATTGTGGCTGTGCACCAGCATCTTCAACCAAAGGAGGCTGCACCATGGCTGCAAACTCTTTCCTCTGTCCACCAGCATCATCTTTGTCTTATGTGGGTTCAGCTTCAGCCTATCTATGGTCCCATTCAAGTCAATGGGTATTTTGCCATTGATTTCAATGGGAACAGAGTTAGGCCAATGCTGGACACTTTTGAAATCCCTCCCAGGGTGTTTAAAATGCTTTAGCCTTGTATACCAGTGAGAATTTTGGCATGTTAACCACTGTTTGGACAGAAAACTGTTGAAATCCCTCATTTATAGCCTTGACACATGTCCCTGCAACACTCTGTGTATTGCCACGCATACCTCCACCACAACAGCACCTATCATGGGCTTCCCAGCCCCAAACTGATCAGAAGAGACCCCGGGCTCCACAGCTTCTACAGAGAAATCACCATTCTCTTTTCCGTGGGGAGTAGAACTCCTGTCCTGATACTGCATGGTTGGATCCTCACAGAAGTAGAGAAAACTCTCCTTCCTCATTCAGAAGCTCTGCAGTCAGATCTTGAGAAGAACCAGGCTGGTTGTGGTCCTGACCCAAAAGTGGCATTTCATCCAGTAAAGTTCTCCAAGAGACTCTCACAGCTGCTCATGCTAGGGCGCAGGCTGATGGGGCCTCTCCCACTGAGCTGCAACATTAATTGTGTGCACTGCTGGTCTTGGTCTCTGGCACTCCAGGTGTTTTGCCAGAACACCCCACCCTGTCCCTGGGCCCCTGGAGACACTTTGTGATTCAAAATACTGTCTCTGAACAAAGAGTGAGATCTGGCCATCCAGCCTGTACAGTGAATACTTTCTGCAAGTGTCTGCAATTCCTGGGGAGTTTGCATGGGGAAGGATTAGTTAGATCCCCAACAAGTGCCATTGCTTTGTCCCTCACTCCTTAAACATCAAGCTCTGCACCCTTATGCGTCCCTCCAGCCCCTGCTCAGGTTTGCCCTCCCACCTACTGCTGGACACTGTTTCTGCTCACTGTCACCACTGTGAAAAGTTTGCCTTGTCCTGGCTGGTCAGTTTCAGGGCAGTACATATCCTGTTGTTTCACTGGGTGGCATTTGCTGTGCCTGCATTGAATACTTACTGCACCTTAAAGCTGCAACTGTCTCGACAGTGAATCTAATTCCAGAAAATCCTTCTTCTGCTTGCAGCTGAGATGTTGGGAAGCACAGAAAGAAGAGCTAGTGTGAAGAGCTGTCAGGATATATATCCCTCTGTTCGCTCTCTGTTTTGCCTTTTACTTTGGAGTGGCACATCTGTCAAACTGAAATTCTCCACCAAGACCCATGACAGTATGATTTCTATCTAGCAACTGTTCCGCATGGTAAGCAGGACAGGATAATTTGTCAGAGACCGTGGCAGTCAGCTGTCTGGAACCAAGAATTGCCCAGTATGGCCTGGCCGGTCTGGAGAGAATGTTAGCCCGCTTGGAGTTGCCGCACTTGTCAGTCACTTTCTGTATTGCAGTCAGAGTAATTGCGTTATTGTCCTTCAGTGTTCCTGCATGTCTATCCAGCCCTGTGTGCAGGGACGCCGATTGAACCTGCCTATGTCCAAAGCTGTTGCTTCAGCTCCCATGAGACATCTCTGAACAGGGCCAGCTATGTCAGCACAGCCAGCATCCCTGGCGAACCCTGAGACTTCACCCTGCAACTAAGCCCCAGGCAGCCACACAACTGCCATCAGTGGCAGCAAATAAGACTTCTCCGTGGAGCCAGATGTTCAGTGTAAGTAGGCTAGTACTAGGGAGGAAAACAATACACCAAGCCCATTAATAGCTCAGTCACAGAATAAGGGTAGAGAGGCAGCATTGGCTAGGGGAGTGGTTCTCACTCAGACTTCGAGACCTAGCACACCACATCTAAAACTTAGTACTTGGCACCCTACCTTGGCACCTTTACTCAGCGTAGGTGTAATAGATTCCTATTCGGATACCATACTTTAGTAAGCCAGCTCACATACCACGGGACTGCTGCCTGCATGCCACAGTGTGAGAACTGCAAGTCGAGAGGATAGAGCCTGGGGCTAGGAGCCAGAAAAGGCAGAGAGCTGCTGACTCACTGGATGGCCTTGGGAAAACACCTTAACTTCTGACTCCTCTCTAAAGTAATAATGAAATGGGGAAAGGATGTGGTAATACAACATTACGGTTAAAAGTTTAACCTCAGAAAAACAGGGATTGTACAGGTAAAAGTTTGCATAGTGACCTTAAGTTACCCACGCTGCCCATGCTGTGTACACAGCTAATAACCTCACTTGTAACTAAAAATAATACAGATTGGGTGAGTTAATGTTGTTATGAGAATCTTAACTTTTGTTTCCCTGCTCTTTCTGTGTAGATGTATATGTAAACTTAATGTTGTGTGTATGCAATGTTGTGGGTTTATGCAAATACGTTACCTTAATGTTACATGAATGTAGGGGTTATTTGGCTTTTAATTTCCTTAGGTTTTGTGAAGAAAAAACAGAAAGAAGCTGCGCTGGCAAGTTGTATCACTTTAATTATACTGGGGTAGGTGTGGCTGGACCCCACCCCCCAGTGTGGATGCACTTCTTTTGGTATCGAGATGCTTAGGCTGTGTCTAGACTTCAAATGCTACAGCAGCACCGTTGCAGCGCTTCAGTGTAGACATGGGGTGGGCAAACTTTTTGGCCCAAGGGCCACATCAGGCTTGCAAAACTGTATGGAGGGCCAGGTAGGGAAGGCTGTGTCTCCCCAAATAGGCTGGCCCCTGTCCCTATCCGCCCCCTCCAACTTCCCGCCCCCTGACTGCCCCCATCAGAACCCCCGACCCATCCAACCCCCCCGCTCCTTGTTCCCTGACCACCCCCTCCCAGGACTCCCTGCCCCTAACCGCCCCCCTGGGACCCCACCCCCTATCCAACCCCCCCGTCCCCTGACTGCCCTGACCACTATCCACACCCCCGCCCCCTGGGACTCCCACGCCTATCCAACCCTCCCTGATCCCCATCCCCTGACCGTCCCCCCAGAACCTTTGCCCCATCCAACTGCTCCCTGTCCCCTGACAGGCCCCCCAGGACTCCCACGTCTATCAAACCGCCCCCTGCTCCCTGTCCCCTGACCGCCCCCAAACCTCTGCCCCATCCAACTGCCCCCTGCTCCCCATCCCCTGACTGCCCCCGGGGACCCACTGCCCCTTGTCTAACCCCCCCCACTCCCTGCCCCCTTACCATCTGCTCAAAGCAGCAGGACTGGCTTATTGGAAAGGCTGGGAGGTGGGCGGGCGCAAGCCATGGCTGCAGGGGAAGGAGAACAGCAGAGGAGGGGCCAGGGGCTAGCCTCCCTGGCCAGGAGCTCAAGGGCCGGGCAGGACGGTCCCATGGGCCAGATGTGGCCCGCGGGCCGTCGTTTGCCCACCTCTGATGTAGATACTTACACAGTGACTGGAGGGGTTCTCTGGTTGCTGTAGTTAATCTACCTTCCCGAGAGGTGATAGCTAGGTTGAGGGAAGAATTCTTCCACTGAACCAGTGCTGTTTACACCAGGGCTTAGGCTGGCTCAACGGCATCACTCAGGGTTTGAATTTCTCACATCTCTGACCGACCTAGCTATGCCAATGTAACTTTTCAGTGCAGACCAGCCATTGTACCGGTATAGCTTATTTCCATATGGGTGCGGGACTACGCTATATATGTACAAGGGCTGGTCTGCACTAGAAAATTAGATCAACCCAGCTACATTGCTCAGGGGTGCGAACAACCCCCCTGCCCCCCGTCAGCTTATAGTGTCTACACTGAAGCATTGCAGCTGTGCTGCTGTAGCCTTTTACTTCTAGCCCTGGTCTACACTAGGACTTTAGGTCGAATTTAGCAGCGTTAAATCGATGTAAACCTGCACCCGACCAGACAATGAAGCCCTTTATTTCGACTTAAAGGGCTCTTAAAATCGATTTCCTTACTCCACCCCTGACAAGTGGATTAGCGCTTAAATCGACGTTGCCGGCTCGAATTTGGGGTACTGTGGACACAATTCGATGGTATTGGCCTCCGGGAGCTATCCCAGAGTGCTCCATTATGACCGCTCTGGACAGCACTCTCAACTCAGATGCACTGGCCAGGTAGACAGGAAAAGAACCGCGAACTTTTGAATCTCATTTCCTGTTTGGCCAGCGTGGCAAGCTGCAGGTGACCATGCAGAGCTCATCAGCACAGGTGACCATGATGGAGTCCCAGAATCGCAAAAGAGCTCCAGCATGGACCGAACGGGAGGTACGGGATCTGATCGCTGTTTGGGGAGAGGAATCCGTGCTATCAGAACTCCGTTCCAGTTTTCGAAATGCCAAAACCTTTGTGAAAATCTCCCAGGGCATGAAGGACAGAGGCCATAACAGGGACCCGAAGCAGTGCCGCGTGAAACTGAAGGAGCTGAGGCAAGCCTACCAGAAAACCAGAGAGGCGAACAGCCGCTCTGGGTCAGAGCCCCAAACATGCCGCTTCTATGATGAGCTGCATGCCATTTTAGGGGGTTCAGCCACCACTACCCCAGCCGTGTTGTTTGACTCCTTCAATGGAGATGAAGGCAATACGGAAGCAGGTTTTGGGGACAAAGAAGATGATGAGGAGGAGGAGGTTGTAGATAGCTCACAGCAAGCAAGCGGAGAAACCGGTTTTCCCGACAGCCAGGAACTGTTTCTCACCCTAGACCTGGAGCCAGTACCCCCCGAACCCACCCAAGGCTGCCTCCTGGACCCAGCAGGCGGAGAAGGGACCTCTGGTGAGTGTACCTTTTAAAATACTATACATGGTTTAAAAGCAAGCATGTGAAAGGATTACTTTGCCCTGGCATTTGCGGTTCTCCTAGATGTAGTCCTAAAGCCTTTGCAAAAGGTTTCTGGGGAGGGCAGCCTTATTGCATCCTTCATGGTAGGACACTTTACCACTCCAGGCCAGTAACACGTACTCGGGAATCATTGTACAACAAAGCATTGCAGTGTATGTTTGCTGGCATTCAAACAACATCCGTTCTTTATCTCTCTGTGTTATCCTCAGGAGAGTGAGATATAATTCATGGTCACCTGGTTGAAATAGAGTGCTTTTCTTCAGGGGACACTCAGAGGAGCCCAATCCTGCTGGGCTGTTTGCCTGTGGCTAAACAGAAATGTTCCCCGCTGTTAGCCACAGGGAGGGGGGAAGGTTGAGGGGGTAGTCACGCGGTGGGAGGAGGCAAAATGCGACCTTGTAACAAAAGCACATGTGCTATGTATGTAATGTTAACAGCAAGGTTTACCCTGAAAGAGTGTAGCCACTGTTTTATAAAATGTGTCTTTTTAAATACCGCTGTCCCTTTTTTTTTCTCCACCAGCTGCATGTGTTTCAATGATCACAGGATCTTCTCCTTCCCAGAGGCTAGTGAAGCTTAGAAAGAAAAAAAAACGATGAAATGTTCTCCGAGCTCATGCTGTCCTCCCACACTGACAGAGCACAGACGAATGCGTGGAGGCAAATAATGTCAGAGTGCAGGAAAGCACAAAATGACCGGGAGGAGAGGTGGCGGGCTGAAGAGAGTAAGTGGCGGGCTGAAGAGAGTAAGTGGCGGGCTGAAGACAGGGCTGAAGCTCAAATGTGGCGGCAGCGTGATGAGAGGAGGCAGGATTCAATGCTGAGGCTGCTGCAGGACCAAACCAGTATGCTCCAGTGTATGGTTGAGCTGCAGCAAAGGCAGCTGGAGCACAGACTGCCACTGCTGCCCCTCTGTAACCAACCGCCCTCCTCCCCAAGTTCCATAGCCTCCACACCCAGACGCCCAAGAACACGGTGGGGGGGCCTCCGGCCAACCAGCCACTCCACCACAGAGGATTGCCCAAAAAAAAGAAGGCTGTCATTCAATAAATTTTAAAGTTGTAAACTTTTAAAGTGCTGTGCTTAAAGTGCTGTGTGGCATTTTCCTTCCCTCCTCCACCACCCCTCCTGGGCTACCTTGGTAGTCATCCCCCTATTTGTGTGATGAATGAATAAAGAATGCATGAATGTGAAGCAACAATGACTTTATTGCCTCTGCAAGCGGTGATTGAAGGGAGGAGGGGCGGGTGGTTAGCTTACAGGGAAGTAGAGTGAACCAAGGGGCGGGGGGTTTCATCAAGGAGAAACAAACAGAACTTTCACACCGTAGCCTGGCCAGTCATGAAACTGGTTTTCAAAGCTTCTCTGATGCGTACCGCGCCCTCCTGTGCTCTTCTAACCGCCCTGGTGTCTGGCTGCGCGTAACCTGCAGCCAGGCGATTTGCCTCAACCTCCCACCCCGACATAAACGTCTCCCCCTTACTCTCACAGATATTGTGGAGCACACAGCAAGCAGTAATAACAGTGGGAATATTGGTTTCGCTGAGGTCTAAGCGAGTCAGTAAACTGCGCCAGCGCGCCTTTAAACGTCCAAATGCACATTCTACCACCATTCTGCACTTGCTCAGCCTGTAGTTGAACAGCTCCTGACTACTGTCCAGGCTTCATGAGCCATGGCATTAAGGGGTAGGCTGGGTCCCCAAGGATACATATAGGCATTTCAACATCCCCAACAGTTATTTTCTGGTCTGGGAATAAAGTCCCTTCCTGCAGCTTTTGAAACAGACCAGAGTTCCTGAAGATGCGAGCATCATGCACCTTTCCTGGCCATCCCACGTTGATGTTGGTGAAACGTCCCTTGTGATCCACCAGAGCTTGCAGCACTATCGAAAAGTACCCCTTGCGGTTTATGTACTCGGCGGCTTGGTGCTCCGGTGCCAAGATAGGGATATGGGTTCCGTCTATAGCCCCACCACAGTTAGGGAATCCCATTGCAGCAAAGCCATCCACTGTGACCTGCACATTTCCCAGGGTCACTACCCTTGATATCAGCAGATCTTTGATTGCGTGGGCTACTTGCATCACAGCAGCCCCCACAGTAGATTTGCCCACTCCAAATTGATTCCCAACTGACCGGTAGCTGTCTGGCGTTGCAAGCTTCCACAGGGCTATCGCCACTCGCTTCTCAACTGTGAGGGCTGCTCTCATCTTGGTATTCATGCGCCTCAGGGCAGGGGAAAGCAAGTCACAAAGTTCCATGAAAGTGCCCTTACGCATGCGAAAGTTTCGCAGCCACTGGGAATCGTCCCAGACCTGCAACACTATGCGGTCCCACCAGTCTGTGCTTGTTTCCCGAGCCCAGAATCGGCGTTCCACAGCATGAACCTGCCCCATTAGCACCATGATGCATGCATTGGCAGGGCCCATGCTTTCAGAGAAATCTGTGTCCATGTCCTGATCACTCACGTGACCGCGCTGACGTCACCTCCTTGCCCGGTATCGCTTTGCCAGGTTCTGGTGCTGCATATACTGCTGGATAATGCGTGTGGTGTTTAATGTGCTCCTAATTGCCAAAGTGAGCTGAGCGGCCTCCATGCTTGCCTTGGTATGGCGTCCGCACAGAAAAAAGGCGCGGAACGATTGTCTGTCGTTGCTCTGACGGAGGGAGGGGCGACTGACGACACGGCTTACAGGGTTGGCTTCAGGGAGCTAAAATCAACAAAGGGGGTGTCTTTACATCAAGGAGTATTTCAGGCAGGACTTCACGGAGGGTTCCAATAAGAAATGGTGCACCTAAGTTATCGTTCTTATTGGAACAAGGAGGTTAGCCTGGCCTCTGATTGATACATGGCTAGATTTACCTCGCTGCACCTTCTCTGTGAGTGACTGCAGTGTGACCTAGAGGAATGAGTCCCCTAGACAGGGGAGGAGGCAAATGAGTACAAAACAAATCTGGTCTATTTCTTGTTTTGACCCACTCCATCTATCTTTTACATCTTTGGCTGGCAGCAGACGGTGCAGAAGGACTGCATGCCATCCACATCTCATGGCTGCTCGGCAGAAGATGGTACAGTACGACTGCTAGCCATCCTCATCTCTTGCCTGCCTGGCAGAAGATGGTACAATACGACTACTAGCAATCCTCATCTCTTGCCTGCCTGGCAGAAGATGGCACAGTACGACTGCTAGCAGTCCGTATCGCCTGCCCGCTCACCATAAGATGGTTCAATAGGACTGACTGCAGGACTAAAGAGAATGACCTGGTCAAGTCACTCCAAATTTAGTCCCTGCGCCCATGTCTGCCCAGGCGCTCCCAGCCGACGTGGCCAGGAGCACCTCAGACACGACGAGGACGACTACCAATCGTATTGCACCGTCTGCTGCCAGAAGGCAATGGGTTGCTGCTACTGTGCAGCAATGCCGTACCACGTCTGCCAGCACCCAGGAGACATAGGGTGACGGTTACCTGAGCGGGCTCCATGCTTGCCGTGGTATGGCGTCTGCACAGGTAACTCAGGAAAAAAGGCGCGAAACGATTGTCTGCCCTTGCTTTCACGGAGGGAGGGAGGGAACGGGGGGCCTGACGATATGTACCCAGAACCACCCGCGACAATGTTTTAGCCCCATCAGGCATTGGGATCTCAACCCAGAATTCCAATGGGCAGCGGAGACTGCGGGAACTGTGGGATAGCTACCCACAGTGCAACGCTCCGGAAGTCGACTCTAGCCTCGGTACTGTGGAAGCGCTCCGCCGAGTTAATGCACTTAATGCACTTAGAGCATTTTCTGTGGGGACACACACACTCGAATATATAAAACCGATTTCTAAAAAACCGACTTCTATAAATTCGACCTTATTCCGTAGTGTAGACATACCCTTAGACAAGCACTAAAGTAACTGTATCCTGGTATAACAGTGTCTACACTAAGGGTTGTAGCAGTATAACCAAGTGGGTAGGAAATTACCTCCGTAACCAGCATAGTTAAATTGGTGTAATAACTGCATGTGGACCTGGGCTGAGTGTTCAGCGGTTCCAGGAAAGCTTTGAATTTCCCACGTGGCGATGGGGGGGAGGTCAATTATGTAGTTCTTAGTGCACTGCGATGAATGGGGTGAGGGAGGACGCAGCGCTGAATCGTCCCTGGGGAGCAGCGGGCGGCTGGGTGAGCTCGCCCCTGTGCTGTTATTGTTTAAGTGAAGGCATTTTTCTGACAAGTCTGGGGCTACGTCACCGCCCCCTCAGGTAGACACAGCGTGCGCCGCCAGACAGGGATTTCCGCTGGTCTGGGAGCACACCTCCCCGAACGACACTCGCTGTGCTGCGAGAGTGCTGGGCAGCAGCAGCGGTAGCTGCGCTCTGATCACGGCGTCCCCAATGAAATCACCCCGAGCAAACCTTGAGGGGCTGAGCGGTGCCTCGCTGGCAGATTAGAATGGGCTGGGGCGAGTTAGAACCCTAAGTAGCCCATTAGTTCAGGGAGTAGAAGACACGGGAAGGAAGTGGAAAGGGGGAGAGAGCTTGAGCACGTGGAGGCCAAGAGAGACTTCCTCCCTCTCCTCTCTGTGGTCTCAGGGGCTGCGGAATCCTATATATCATAGACAGCGTGCTGGCCAACACTGGAAAGGCGATGGGGGAATGCTGTAAGTGAACCACACCTGGAGTTCACAAGCAGAGTCTCCGAGCGGTCTGTGTGGGACGAAGGCGCGCCCTTGTACACGTGCCGGCAGAAGCTCTCTTCTGTCAGACTAGCCATGTCCATGCTGGGATGATGTCAGCACAGCGGCGTTGCTAGGGGATGTGGTTTTTCACATCCCTCATTGACATAGATAAGCCAGTATAAGCTTTAAGTGTAGACCAGGCCTAAGTTTACAGGGCATCAGCAGAGCATCTCAGAAAGTGACAGAGGAAAAGACAGCAAGTGAGGCCTCAATCCTGCAAACACTGAGTTGGATGGGAAGCCCAGTGCATACGGGTTTGCATTTTTGGGAGGATTATGCTGTGTGTGTTTCCATAAGAGAGACTCTCCCACCTGCTAACTCTTCCAGCAGCAGCTCCTGGACTGGGCCAGGCCTGGACCACTGGGTATGGTGAGATTACAGGGGGGCAGGCCTTCAGCTCAGCCCCTTGCCCTTTTTTATGGTTGCAATCACGTTCAGGTGGGAACATTTTGGACTGTGGACGTGGCCTTTCCAAAGCAAAGCAAACGCTCATAGGAATTGAGCTGACATACCAGAGGCATCTGCATGGCTTTATTAATACATCTCAGAGCAAGATGGAGAGATTTTTTTCCCCTGAACTGGAGGCTACAAGAGAAGCAGGAAATAGAACAGAATAGAGGTGAAGAACAAAAGAACGAGGGAACTGGAAGAAACTCCAAATGACAACAGCAAATGCTTCTGACAACTCCTTGCCAGGAAGCTATGGGAAAAGTGGTCTGAGTCTCTGAGAGATGGTATCAATTTACCGCTTGGACAGTACAGCTAAAAGGACACTGTCAAGGTTAGTTAAGTTAGAAAGCCCTTGCATTGCCAATGTACCCCCTGGCAGGTTTCCCCCTCTGACGCCTGCTATATCAGAAAGTGTGTGAGATGAGGACTTTCAGTGGGACTGTCAGCAACAGAGCAGCTCTCACCACTCATGGGGACATGCTGTATTTTATCTGAGAACCAGCTCAGAATGTAGTGTGTGGCTTCTGGTTTATTCTGCACGTGGCTTATGTTGGAGTTAAGTCAATTCTACTGACAAGAAGCAAGGGCTTGTCCATATGGGGAAATTGATCAACATAGCTATTCTGGAATAACTCATCTGCAATAGATATTCCAGAATAGTTCCCTGTGTGGACCCTTTGTTCTGTGATAAAGTCCCCAGGATTCTGGAATAATTACTCCTTTGTTGAGTATCACTTTTATTCTAGAACTGTGTGTCCACAAAGGAGTCATTCCAGAATAGCTAAATTATACCAGAGTAGTTATTCCCATGTAGACAAGGCCCAAGTAGCCTTCCCCTCTGCCGTGTATTTGACCCTCCTATATACCATGGTTACAATTCACTAAGGGGCAAAAACAGGCAGAAAAAGAAAAGAGACGCAAGGAAAACAAACTAGGCAGGAGCAATTGACTGAGCTGTGGGCCCAGCTGTGCCTCTTTGTCATTCCCTCACCCCCAACTCCATCGCT